ATTCAGAGATATACAAAGTTTGTTTTGATTACTTGACCAAATTATGAATATCATGGACACCTTGGACAGGAAGAACGATCATCGCGGCGACGGTTCTCACCGCCACGGCGATGGATCACGGGCTTATTTTGTTAATGCGTTATCCTAATCCGAATCTAAATGGGCTAAGACATATACTCTTTTCCTAATTAAGATCAGAACCCTAGGACTATAAAAGAAGAATTTTTGAGAAGTTTTAGGAGTTTTTTTTTGGAGAGAAGGAGAAAGGACGACTACTATTTTGGAGATCGGAATTCTTGCAGTTCTCGTTCGCCAATTACATAAGTTTTTCTATTTTTCTTTCTTGAACTCATGTTATTGAATAGAATGATTGTTTTTATTACAACAATTATGAACTAAATCTCTTTTCTAGGGCTAAATATGTAGCCCAATTTATGAATATGTGTTGACGTTATCTTTATTGATTTCTTATGGAGCATTAATTCTAAGTTTTATTATTGTGTGTAATGCTTTAAATTCTTAAGGATCCGAGAGTTGAATGATATCATGGGTTGGGTTGAGATTGAGAGATGAAACCTGATTAGTCTAAGGTAATAAAACCATAGATTAAACGAATGCTAGAGATAGGTTACCGCAATTTTTGAGGTTCTGGTAAATTCCATAGAACTTAATGATCTCTTAGCTTCTAAATCTAACTTAGAGATATTTTGGTTTGTTGCTTAAGGGTTAATTTGCTAATTTTTTGAGAGAAAGTTAGTGGAATATTAGGCAGTTTGGCCTTTAGAATATGCTTAATTAGGTTAGTAATAATTGTCAATACATAGGATTAAATTGGTGTGAAATCTGTGCCCTAAGGTTTAGCCATATTGATCTTTATACCAAAGTTCTTCTAAAATTCTGATTTTGTTTAGTATTTAATTTGTTTTCTTTTTCATTAAATTCATTCATAAAATTTTGGCTCATCAAATAGCAATAAAATAGACTAGTTTGGTACTTGGTAGGTAGTTCTCTTGGGATTCGACACTCGTTTACTCGAGCTTTATTACTTGCACGATTTCGTACACTTGCGAATAGCTTGTCATCAACCTTCACCAAAGAAACTTATAGTGACAGGACAACAGATGTGGTCACACAAAACACGGTGATCACACACATCGGAGTGGGCAAATCTGCTCAACTAGACACAAAACGAAAGATAGCAAACACAAGCACAACCTCAGATTAAAGATCTGACAAACAAGCAAGGATCAACTTAGATAACTCTTCATAATGTGGTCTGATACCAAATGAAAGTTTTAAAGGATTACCAAGTGTTTAAAACTTATGTGGATTGAGTTGCTTGTTTAATTTATAGTGCAAATGAGTTGTGAGAAACTTAATTAAAACATACATCAAAGCAAGTAAAGAATACACTCATTTTTACATGGTTCAACATCAAGCCTACATCCATGGGACCATGTCCAGAGGAAGCAAATTCACTTTGAAATACTTATGAGTTCAAATACAAAGCAAGATAAGCAAAGTTGTAAAACACACCTTGTTTTCTACACAACAACTCTATCTTCTTTGGTTGAACTTCAAGTCCTCACAGCAAGCTTCACGAACACAGCACCATCATGTTGAAGAAGAGCTCCTCTCAAGATTCAACAATGAAGATAGGACAGCAGCTTACATACAAGCTCTTATCATAATGGAAACAACATCCAAAGATCTCAACAAGGACAAGTGAGGATGGTAATTCTAAGCCTACCAAAGCATAGTAAGAAACCTTAACCAAAATGAGAACTTTAGAGAATATTCAGAGAGGAAAACAAAATGTGATTAGATTCCTTAAAGAAAAATGCCATAAATGAGTGAATATAAAGAGATCAATGCGTCAAGGGTTGAGGGACAAAAAAGTTGAATATTAACTTTTGTGTTTTTCATTTTGTACAAGAAATTTGGGACCATAGAAAAAAGCAATATTCCTTTTCTCTCATAGCAAATAAAAGGTGGACAGATGTAAAAGAACAAAACAGAATATCAATAAGGAATAATATTGTCCAAAAAGTAAAATAAGCCCATGAAGTGTGATTGAGGGGAGAATATCTGTCAGAAGCATTGTGTACGTACAAATGCTAAAGTGCTCATATTTGTGAAGATGTTCACCTTTAGCAAGTGTGTCCACAATGGCATAAAGGAAAAAATAGTGCAGGACTCAAAACAAGATCATAAGGGGACAAAAACACTAACAATTTTAATATTTTATTCTACGTTATCATTTTCAATTTTTTATCATTATCAAGTAGCTGAAGTATGACTATTTTAATTTTTTTTATTATCAAGTAGTTAGAGTCATGATAAGAAATAGTCCCTAAGAGCTATGTAATCAGGATCCATTATTTGAATAAACATTTGTTATTCTTTTTTTTCCCTACAGTGAGTGTTTGGAATAACTTGAGGTTATTTTGCTAGTGCAAATATCCTGTTTAGTAGCATTCGACTCCGACGAATCTCTTCCGCTATGCCAACTTAAGACCTGATCATTTAAATGTTAATAATGCAGAATTGTTGAGGTGAGTTTTGTAATTTGATTGATTGCAGGTTCTTCCATACGCCCAATGTGTTGTTGAATCATTTCCCATGACAAAGAGTGAGCATATTTTGAGGCAATGGAATTGAAAGAGCATGGCGAATTGTGCCTTGACCATCTTCCTGAAGTCTATCATTTTGACTGTTTGATGTCTCTAATTGGAATGCCATACTTGGAGCCTCATCATATTATCCTAAGGAAAGGCTTGGTTGCCGGAATTGAGTATCCATTGCTTGCAGAGCACATGTCTAAATACATGGCAAGGACTCTTCTTTCACATCTCTTCTTTACCGTAACAGTATGGAGCACAAACGTAATGGTAAGAGTTTTTACATCATTTTGATTTTGATTTAGTATACAAATATTTTTTGTTATGTTCCTTTTTGGCTATGTGCCCCTTTTTTTTTTTTTTTTTTTTTTGATTGTTGTTGTAGTTGCTGAATTTTGTGGAAATGCTGAGCTCTGCCGCTTTACTGAGCAATTTCTCTTCTCTTAACCCTACAAAGTTTATGCATATAACCGTTTCACTTCTTCTCTTAGTCATGAAGTTGAGGCTGTCCGGGAGGATAGTATTTTAATGCTTGAAATTGTTGAGTTGAAAACCAAGTACTTAATATATACCGACTTCTTTCCATAATATATGGGAATTCTTTCTTTTTGTAGTGAAAAATGCCAAAACGTAAAGCTCCAGAGATATAAAATATTTGACACAGGATTTACGTCCCTTGCGGGAAAAAACCACGGCAAAAACAAAGGATTCACTATGTAATTTGGATATACAATTTTCTTCTCTCTCGCAACACTCTCATACGGATACAAATATGAGACTTTGTGCTTTGATTTTTCCTCTCAAAATCGCTCTAACTCACTCATATTTCGACGTCTCTTCTCCGCAGCTTATACTGCCCTTATATAGAAGTTTTTCAGTCGGCCACCGCTCCAGCTATCTTCCTCTCAAGCTTAGTCATCACTCAAGATAGCTCCAACTGCCTTCAGCCACTCCAAACGTTTTTCTCTCAAGCTGCCAGCAAGAAGTTAGCTTCTAGGTGTTTTACATAATTGTTGTACTGAATCGAGCCAGCAATCATCCCATAGTCCAACTGCCATCAAGAAGTTTGGTCACCACTTGAAGCCTCCAGGTGTTTTCTTAATGGAGTACACCTTCACAATTCTCTACCTTGGCTTGAATTCCTCCAAACATAACATATTATCTTTCTCCCTTGCCTCTCCTCGATATTGTAGCTTATCTGCAACATCCAATAATGTCCAAGCAAAGCTTGAACTTAGCTATTGGAATTGGTTTGGTCATCATATTTGCAGGATTCTCTATTATAGATATCTTTTCAACTGCGATCTTTCACTTTTTCAATAATCTCTCACACAAAATGATATCTGACGTCAACATGCTTCGTCCTTTCATGAAACACTTGATTTTTGGTCAAGTGTATGGCACTTTGATTATCGCAATAGACAACAGTTTCTTCTGTAACAATCTCAGATTGCCAACTAAACCACACAACTACAAAGCTTCTTTCACTGCCTCTGCTCCACGTAAATCCTGTATCAAACATTTTGTATCTCTGGAGCTCTATGTTTTGGCATTTTTTTCATTACAATGTACCAATTGTAGTGAAAAATGCCAAAGCAATTGTTAAATTCATTGGTAATTATTTTTGAGATCACTTGATTTCCAAAATTGGAATAAGTTCAAGCTCGGAAAGTATATGATGGTTTTAGTCAGAGAACAATGAAGAGATAAAACAGAGCACCCTAAAGTTTCAGCAAAAAGTTCTTACGTTTTCATCGAAGAAAGTCAATATATAACACTTAACAACTCTCTGCTAATTACACCAACTACAGCAGATGTTTTTCAGCTTTCAAATTCAAGTCTAACCACTAATATTGTAGTCATATTACTTCCTAATAAACTTGACTTAAATACCCTTAAGTAACTAAGCAACTAATTACACAAAGCACACTCCCATGCATATTGAGTGACTGCTGCATGTAACCTTCAACAGCTTTCTAAACACAAACTTGCAGACTTGAGTATTTGATGCATTTCCAGCAAAGCATCAATACATCAACACTCCTCCTTGATGCCTTTGCTGGAAACACCAAGTTTGAGTCTAAGTTCCTCAAACTTGGCGTTAGTCAGACTCTTAGTCATAATGTCTCCAATCTGGTCCACACCTCGGCAGTGCAACAAGGTCACTTCCCCATCATTTTCAGCCTCCCTCACTGCAAGAAATTTAGTCTTGATATGCTTTGTCCTGCCATGGAGAACTGGATTCTTTGCCATTGCCACTGTTGATTGATTGTCACACAATATTGAGGTTGGTCTATCTTGATCGTACTTCAAATCAGACAGATTTTTTTTGAACCAAGCAGCTTGGTTCACAGCTGCTGCGGCAGAAATGTACTCTGCCTATGCAGTGGACTGAGCCACCGTGTCTTGCTTCTTTGAAAACCAACTAATGGCACCTTCATTAATGTAAAACACATACCCTGAGGTACTTTTCATGTCATCTAAAGAACCTCCCCAGTCACTGTCTGTGTATCCCTGCAAAACTAGTTTTTCTGCCCTCTTGAACCAAATGCCAAGGTTTGAAGTTCCTTTCACATACCTTAACACCCTCTTTGCTGCCCTATAATGTGATTCACTTGGACAACTCATAAATCTAGAGAGGTAGCTAGCTACAAACATCAGGTCCGGACGTGTGGCTGTTAAATACAGCAAGCATCCCACCAAGCCTCTAAACATACTCTCATCCACTCTTTTCTTACCATCATTCTTGCTTAGCTTCAGGTTAGAGACTAAGGGTGTATCTGCAGGTTTGCAATTCTCCATTCCAAACTTTATGAGAATCTCATTTGCATACTTTTCCTGGTACACAAATATTCCACTTTTAGACTGAAAAATCTGCATACCAAGGAAATATGTCATCTCCCCCAAATCTATCATCTCAAATTCAGATTGCATGGATTGTTTGAACTTGCTCAATTGGTCTGGATTGCTCCCTGTCATCAGCAAATCATCCACATACAATGACACAACAATTAGTCACCCTCAACTTCCTTAACATAAAGAGTATGTTTATTTAGACTTCTAGCATAGCCGAGGCTATTAAGGTGATCATTTATACAGCTGTACCAGGCCCTAGGTGCCTGTTTTAGACCATACAATGCCTTCTCCAGCATGTATACCTTACTTTCTTCACCCTTCACCTGGTAGCCTTCGAGTTGGTCTGCGAAAATCTCCTCTTCCAAGCAGCCATTTAGGAAGGCAGATTTGACATCAAGTTGGAAAATTTTCCAACCAAATTAGGTTGCCATGGCTATGATCAACCTTATAGTATCATGTCTAGCTACCAGAGCAAATGTATCAATGTAATCCACCCCTTGCTGCTGTGCAAATCCTTTTGCCACAAGCCTAGTCTTGTGTTTGTGGATTGTACCATCAGGATTGAGCTTTAATTTATAAATCCACTTTACCTGAATTATTCTTCTATTTTTAGGTCCTTCAACTAGCCTCTATGTGTTGTTCTTCTCAATCATAGAAATCTCCTCTTGCTTTGCATTCTTCTAAGCATCTGATCCAACAGCTTCAACATATGTTTTAGGTTCTAACACAGCCACATTGCATCTTGCATAAACATCATCCAAGGTCCTGGTCCCTCGAACTAATGGTTCCTTATCTACTTCAATTTCATCTTCCTTAAACACATTTTCAATCGGCTGCTGCATTTTCTAGTCAGCCTCAACCTGCTTACTCTCCCAATTCCACATTGCATTTTCATCTATTCTTACATCCCTAGTTATCACAATTCTTTTTGTTTCCGGAATGTACACTCTGAATCCTTTTGATTGGTTATTGTAACCAATGAAAATGCCAACTTCAGCCTTATTATCCAGCTTGGTTCTCTTCACTGCTGGAACCATCACATAGCACACACTTCCAAACACTCTCAAATAGCCAATTGTTGGTTTAATTCCTATCCATGCCTCAGCTGGTGTTTGCCCCTTGACAGCTTTGGTTGGCAGCCTATTCAGGAGATAAACTCCTGTATTTACTGCCTCAGCCCAAAATTTCTTAGGGAGTTGTTTTTTTGCAAACATACATCTAGCCATCTCCATGATGGTCCTGTTTTTTCTTTCACTTACTCCATTTTGTTGTGGAGTGTATGGAGCAGTGAATTGATGCCTAATACCAACTTCTAAACAAAGTGAACTGAAGTCCTTTGCAGTGTACTCAGTTTTGTTGTCACTTCTAAAGGATTTGATCTTTGTTCCAGCCATATTTTCTACCAACAATTTGAATTTTCTAAACACTACAGGGACCTCACTTTTTTGCTGTAAAAAATACACCCATGTCATCCCTGTATAATCATTTATAAAGAGTACGAAATACCTGCTTCCACTCAAGGATTCTGTTTGCATAGCACCACAAACATCTGAATGAATCAGTTGAAGCTTCATTGTTGCTCTCCAGATCTGATCCGAAGGAAATGCAGGTCTGCTCAATTTACCAATTTGGCATGCACTGCACAATGTACTTTTCTCCTCAATTTTTGGAAGGTCATGAACCACGTTTGCATTCTTAAACTCTTTGAGGCCATTATAGTGATAATGGCCAAGCTTTTGTGCCAAGTTTTTGACTCTTCTAGTCTAGTTGACAGGGCAAAATCATTGGTGTTTTTCCACTCAACCGGGAAGATTTTCCCCAGCATCTTTACACACATCAATTCAACTCCTTTAGGATTTAAATGGTACATGCTTGGTTTTCAAAGTGTAAGGAATAACCCCTCTCTAACATTTATCTCGCACTCAATAGATTTTGGCTAATTCTAGGCACATACAACATATGAGAGATTATTTTTGTACCTGACCAAATTTGGATAGCAACATCCCCCATGCCTTTGACCTCCATGAATTCACCATTTCCTATCTTGACTCTGGAGCTATACGATCTGTCCAAGCTAACAAAATTTTGCAGGCCTACAGCCATGTGATTGGTGCAGCCACTATCAATTAACCAAGCTTCATTGCTGGTTTTTGCAGTGTAACAAGTGGCCACAAAAAGTTGTTCAGCCTCTTGACATTGTTGCTGATCCTCTCCAACTTTTGCTTGTTGTGTTTGCTGGTTTGTTTTGTTCTTACAAACCCTTTCAATATGCCTGAATTGCTTACAACTCTTGCACTGTATACCAGGTCTGAACCAGGATCTTCTCTCTGGATGCCCCTTCTTTTTACAGTGAGTGCAGGCTAGAAATTCTTTCACTTCACCAAGCCTTTCCCATTGGTTATTACTCTTCTCTTTCCCTTTCCTATCTCCAGCATACTTCCTTGTTTGTGCTTGTGTAGGTTTGCCTTTGAAGCTTGCAACCAATGCACCCTCAGTAGTGTCTTCTTGCCTCAAGAGCCTTCTTTGCTCTTGAGCTTGGAGAGCATGGACAAGCTCAGTCAATATAATCTGAGTCATGTCTTTCGAGTCCTCTAAAGAAGAGATTTTGGACTCAAATCTCCCGAGAGACTCACCAAAACCTTTTCCACAACCCTACGATCTATCAACTCCACTCCCATAAGCCTGATTTTGTTGACAACATTCATTAGTCTATCAACATAATCCTTCACTTTTTCAGTTTCTTGCATCTCAAATTCTCTCCTTAGATTAAGAACCTACATATTCCTCGTTGTAGTGCTACCCATGTATTCCTCTCTCAATTTATCCCATGCTTCTTTGGGGTTTTCGTATGCCATGATCCTTGTAAAAACAAGATCAGTCACAGCTGCATGTATGTGAGAGAGAGCTCTCGGTGCTTTGGCTGTTTCTTCCTCATGCAGCCTCATTTGGTTCAACATAGGATTCTGTCCAAGAGGAAGTGGCTGCTTGTTTTCTTCCACGTACTGCCATAGTCCCTGTCCATGAAGAAAGGCTTTCATTTTTACAGCCCAAATGTGGTAATGTTCCCCATTGAATACCAAAGGAGCCATCAAGACAGATTGAGTTGCCATGTCCCTGTTTTTTGTGTCTGTCGTAAGGAGGAAGAAGAACAGATGCAGGTTAACATTTAGACTGAAAAAATAGGTATTTTAAAGGTATGATCGATGGTCTACAATGCTAAGTTTCTGGTTTTTGTGGCAACTCTGATACCATTTGATGGTTTTAGCCAGAGAACAATAAAGAGATAAAACAGAGCACCCTAAAGTTTCAGCCAAAAGTTCTTACGTTTTCATTGAAGAAAGTCAATATATAACACTTAACAACTCTCTGCTAATTACACCAACTACAGTAGATGTTTTTCAGCTTTCAAATTCAAATCTAACCACTAATATTACAGTCATATTACTTCCTAATAAACTTGACTTAAATACCCTTAAGTAACTAAGCAACTAATTACACAAAGCACACTCCCATGCACGTTGGTCACTGCTGCATGTAAACTTCAGCAACTTTCTAAACACAAACTTGCAGACTTGAGTATTTGATGCATTTCCAGCAAAGCATCAATACATCAACAATATATGAGATGAATTAAGTTTTCTGATCTATTATGCTTGTCTTGTTATTTTTTTCATAAAAATTGTCAGCTTTTTAAGTTTAAAATTAAATGATGAAGTATTTTTAACACCAGAAAATATTGACGACAAATTTCACGATATGATGGTCAGGAGGATTGTGGGTGTTACTGCTGTTGAGGATTCTGAATCAATGGAGAATGCTAGCAAACGATTAGCTTGTAAGCGGCAAGCTCTTGAATTGGCAAAAATGCTTCTAAATGACAAGACTTGTTAGGATATTATGGCTTGCTTTCCTATTTTTTTTTTTCCATGTAAAATTGTATGTCTTTAAGAAAATTATTTAATAAAGAATACAATTGCAAATATGAATAAAATTTAGGAGTCCTATTATAAATTGAAATATGAATCCTATTGGAAATAGGATATCCCATATACTACTTATAAATATAGGGGTAAGAACCAATTCAAGGTTATGAGAGAATGTGAGAATACAGGGTATTTGATGTAAGAGTTATTAAATACCATATGTAGAGTGTCTTAGAAATTGGGATTGTTTTTGCTCTAGGTTTGGGTTGAGCGTGGTTGGAAACTATGATTTTTTTCAGTCTATTAATTATGTATTGATTTTATGTGTTGTGTACTCTTGTATATCGTGTTCATGAAGCTATAGTAGATTTTGACGAAATATGGAATGCCTTTATTATTGATTTCCCTTTATCTCTGCTAGCTGAGATTAAGGAGTGATTAAAGTTTCAATCAATCAACTTAATTCATGTGATTGATTGAACAATTACAGGGTTTTTTGTATTTATTATTTTCCTTCTTTACATTTACAAGAATGTATAAATTAGCCAATTGTACAACCTTACAATATACTGAATATAAAAATTTCTTCACTCTTTCTCTTCTCTTGGCCATACTCTAGCAGTGTCATTATCTTGAACTACTTCTCTTTGTCTCTATCTCGATTCCTTACATGGTATCAGAGCTCAACTAAAAGTTTCCGCTTGCCTATCAACTCAGCTTCTTTCTCTTTGTCCCTGCAAGCAATAAAAAAACCCCATTACCCTTCAGCATGGAAATAACCCAAATACAACTACGACAAACCCAGACAACCCAATTAATACAAATAGCCTAATCACCATAGATAGTCCACACAACTCCAGCACAAACATCCAATCTATGTCTGCTACAACCCAAACAATTGAAGCCCACACAACCCAAGCCCACACAACTAAAACTAGGTCTAACCCAGCTCATTATCCATATGGAATGTCGGGTTACAATCGGATTTTTTTACCCATTCAAGGCCTCACCCAACCTCTCTTGGAATATCGGGTTACAACCCGAATTCCTTTCCTACATTGGGTTCAGATCCAAATCCCTACCTATGTCCTTTTCAAATTGTTCTAGCCATCGGGAACAATTGCCCTAAACCAGGTGATGTTCTCTTCGCATCAGTCTTTGATAGACTTGAATTAGTCCTCATCAAACAAACCCTAACCGAATTAGACAACTATGCCTCCTGGTCTTACCATTTCCTACGAGCACTCATCACCAAAGGCAAAGATCCTCTTGATAGGGCTTTTCAACCACTGTCGCAACCTTATCGTCACCACCACTGGAATCGTTGCAATATGCTAGTCTGATCATAGATCAGCAATTGTCTTTCATCGAAG